ACACAATGAAATACGGTGTTATTACATTTACTCTGGCATCAGTGAGTTTTCTGTCTTTCTCTATTTTTCCTAGAAGTGACAAGGACAGGATTGAAGAACCAATTACAAATGGGTTTGAGTAACAGTGGTGGTTTTAAAGCATGTCCATGGATTCTCTAACACTTCCCCCATCTCTAGGTAGAGTCTTTGTACCCTCCCTTTGAATCTGGGCAGAAATTTGTGACTGTATTGAGAAGCAGAATGAGGCAGAAGCGTCTCTGTGGAGCTACAAAGACTAAAGACTAGCTTATAAGAGGCCATGTGCTTTTTGCTGAGTTCTCTCAGGCTATTTGCTCAGAGAGCCTCTCGCTGCCATGGACAGAGCCCAGCCAGCCTGCAACCACTGCGTGAAGAGACCTATGGTGAGACCACACAGAGAAAGAAAGTGGTAGCCACGGAGCCCCAAATGTTTGAATCTTCCCAGCCCCGTTACCAGAGTGCTAGTTAAAAAGCCTTTATAGAAGATCCTATCACTAGTCACCATCTGACTAAAACCAAATGAGACTCCAAGAAAGAATTGCCATCATCTCAGATTTGTGAGCAAAACAAATGATGTTTCAAAACACCGTTTTGAGGTGGTGTGTGACAACAACACAAAGCCAGAAATATGAGCCAAATAAAAAACGATGAAGACTAAGCTAAGGTAGTGTTGGGCCTTACTAACGCCACCTTAAGTGACATTACAAGCGGCGCCATTATGGGCCCACAAGGGCGTATTAATGTGGCAGCCGAAGACGGCGCCAGGAGGAAGTAGGGTGGGGGTGTCTGCGGGAACCTTGCCTAAGCCCTTATTGGCCAAATTCGTGCTTCTGCACTGGTGAACACTGCGTGGTTGCAATAGCTAGGCATTGAGACAGGATGCTTGCCCTTGACCTTTAAGCTGATTGGATTATGTTAAAACCTCCCCTCCCTATCTGCCTATAAAAGCAAGTGCTTGTGTGATAATAAATGGAACTGCCTGGACAGAACCCCCGCCGCGTCTGAGTGTCCTTTAACTGGGCTGGGGGGCAGGCAGTGTGCTCACCTCTCTTAAGGGCTCTCTTCCCCCCGTCTCCTTCCAAAGGGGACTGGAGGGAAAGAGTAATCTGGGCCATTCACTCGCTCACCAGAAGGAACAAGGCTAGTGCTGTACGGGTCGGCCACTGGTGGCGGACCCAACAAGGTAGAGGCAGTTGCGATTGGGATACAGCAAAGAGGATGCACACATTATTAAGAAGTATGATCCATCCACTCACAGTCCAAGGGGCAAGGACTGGAATCAACCAGTCTCTTCCTGATATGCATTTGGCCCTTGTTTTGTGGATGGCAGCTTATTTAAAAATTCAAATTAAATAACAAAGTATCTTGTTTAAATTCTACACTTAGCAAGCAAATTTAGCAAATGCCTGTGAGTAACTGAATCTCTAGTTATTATATTTTTCATTGGTGATCAATACACTAAAATTCTAGTTTTATATATCAGTTTAAATATGATAATATAAAAGACCCTGAATAAAAGAAATCAGACCTATCTATATGGTCAATTCCAGCTGTTTTCAGATTCTAAGGCTTGATTGGGGGAAAATATAAAAAGTATTTTAGGGCAATTGAAGAAATATGAATATAAACTTATATGTGATAATGTTGGGGAATATTGGTAATATTTTTTAGGCAAAATAGCGGTACTGTGACTATTCTTATGAGGAATATACTACTTTGGGGTGAAGTGTTATGATGTTAGTAATTTACTTCCAAATAGAAAAAAATCTAGGTGATGGATATATTGGTGTTGATCATTCTTTAAAATTCTCTACATGTTTGAAAATGTTCAGAAAAGATAAAAAAAAATCCTAACCCTGAAAACATAAAAAATCAGAATATTAGAAAAATGTGTAATGGATTTTTGAGAAAATGTGAGCTTTTTAATGTAGTATTTTGTCTTTGGTTATAAAAAGGAATTTTGAAATATTTCCATCTGGTAGAATGTGTTAATTTATAAGATTGACTTCTGTAAAATAATCTAAATGTCCTGCTGAGAATAAAGGCGAAGAACAAACTGTAGAAATTGACAAAGTATTCTAAGATAAAGTATTAGCATGTAGAAAAGCCTTCTGGCAGAAAGATTAATCCAAATTTCATCTCCAAATTATTTTTCATATATAAATTGCCACTGTGCTTAGGTGTTTTAAAAATAAAGATTAGAATCAGCATTTTAATTAGCTACTTTTTTCCAATAGATTTTATCAGAAAACAACAGTCTTAAATCTTTAATCTCCTCCATTATTACCTTTCTCAACTGGTTGTAAAGAATTCTTGAAAGATTTAGCTCTATTTGGGTCAAAGCTAAAATGAGCAACTAGGAATTAAACTACAGAATTCATGGAGTTTCGTATGTAAAAAAGATTGAAAGATGCCATGGAGAAAAATAATTAACATCAAGAAGTGGAACTATGCAATTCATTTTCTTGTTTCAATAACGAAACTTAGTTTCTTTTATTTTGTAGGTTTGTCTTTTAAAGAAGAAACGTTGAGGCCCTGACAAAAAAAGATAGGCGACAGGGCTGCTGTTGTCTAATATTTAGCAACCACCAGACTTGCAACGGGCAAAGTAACCCTTTCTCACTCTCATCATTACGATTTCCCCTGTGCTCCCACTACAGACCCCTGCAATCGCTGCCGATAGCAGTGGCTGGGAAAGCCCCGCGCATCTGTGCCACCACCCAGTCTTCCACCAGCCTACCAAGTGGCGCTTTCTAGTCACGCGAAGGACATCTAACAAGTTATACTATATTTTATGTGAATTTTTGCAGAAGAAAAAGAAAACATCTGAGGACCAGTAAGTTAATCCCCTAAATTGTTTGATATTTTCTTTTCCAGCAGACAGACTGAACTGGGGTAAGAGGAGAAAGTGAATCTCTCCCATATTATTAGAACGTGCATGAAGCTTTTAGCAGTCATCACGGACATCACTTCTGGGGACTTTGATTACACTCCATGCCCTTCACCTTGCACATCTCTTCAAAGGCCTGAGTCATGCTCTGTCTATGTTGCCCTTCCAGGAGCAAATTGCCGCGCGGACCCAAACAAAATGACGCCAACGTGGGGAAGGAGGGGTCACGGTAGGAGGACGGCAGCGTCGCACTCGAGGTGCCAGGCCGCGCAGCTGAACGGGCGAGGGGCAAGATGCAAGGAAGGGACGTTTCTGCACCGGCCGAAGTGTCCCAGGAGGCCGGCCCTTCTCCCCACAGACTCCAGATCCCAAGAAGCTAGAAAAGCCTGGATTTTCGCCCTTTCTATTTGTTTTGGGACACAACCAATCAAACAGCAAAGGAGAGGGAAGAAGACAGCCTCTAGAACATTTTTTTTCTGGTTTAAAACCATCTTTAGTGCACAATTACAAAAAAAAAAAAAAACAAGTAAAACTTTGTATATTTACAATTTAATCAATTTAGGAAAAGTTTAGGTAGAGGGAAAATATAGTGAAATAGACAACGCTTCTGGCCACCCCCGTCCTGCGACGTCGTAGGACGCGGCGCTGTGACGTCACAATGCCACCGCGCCGCCTTGGTGCTCTCTTGTGCCCAGCTCCAGGGGAGCGCCGTCGCCGGGACTTCTGTACCTGACTGTTCCCACCCTCCAGGCAAGGGGACCCGAGGTCCCTTCTGAACGCTTGGCCAAGCG